CCAAAATCTGTTTTAGTTTACAATCTGTTTGTTTTGTTTTCAAATTCATCAAAATCAAATCCCCATTTGCTTTAAAGTGTTTTATTAGTCAAAATCTGTTTTGATTTGTGTTTTTAAGTGTCTTGAGTCAAGTTAGAACCTAATTTCGTCCAAAACCATCCCTAGAGTCAGTTTAGAGTCTAATTCATTGTTTTAAGCAGTTTTGAGTTCTTTTAGTTTGTATTGCATCTTTTGAGTCTAGTTTGGTGTTTTAAACTTAATTTTACGTTTTTAAGTTAGTTTCAAGTGTTTTATCAATCCCTCATAATCCCCGGCCTAGAACGATCCCTACTTACATTCTTTACTACAATTGACAACAAAAGGGTTTAATTTGTGTGTTAAGATAATTTTTGCATCAGTCCACCACATCCTGGGCCCGTTCCACCATCGTAGCACGATATTGTCCGTTTTGGGCTTACCATTCCTTCACGGTTTTGTTTTTGGGAACTCACGAGCAACTTCCCAGTGGGTCACCCATCCTAGGAGTGCTCTAGCCTCATTCTTGCTTAACTTCGGAGTTCCTACAGAACCTGAAGCTAGTGAGCTCCCAAAAGGCCTCGTGCTAGGTAGGGATGGGAATATACATTTAAGGATCACTCCCTTGGGCGATGTGGGATGTTACAATCCACCCCCCTTAAGGGCCCGACGTCCTTGTCAGCACACTTCCGGCCAAGGATTGGCTCTGATACCATTTGTCACATCCCGGCCCGGGTCCACCACATCCCGGGCCCGTTCCACTACCGTAGCACGATATTGTCCGTTTTGGGCTTACTATTCCCTCACGGTTTTGTTTTTGGGAACTCAAGAGCAACTTCCCAGTGGGTCACCCATCCTGGGAATGTTCTGGCCTCCTTCTCGCTTAATTTCGGAGTTCCTACGGAACCCGAAGCCAGAGAGCTCCCAAAAGGCCTCGTGCTAGGTAGAGATGGGAATATACATTTAAGGATCACTCCTTTGGGCGATGTGGGATGTTACACGTTTCAAACGGGCTAGTTCAGGACAGACAGGTCCACATGTCTTTTTTTTTTCTTCCGGTTTTGATCGCCTCCCAGACTTGTTCTCAGAAAACAACTAATATTAAAGTCTAATTTGTAGGCAACTGCTTTGAAAATTGCAGAACAGTATGTTGATGCCTTTGGTAATATCGCTAAACAGGTGAAACCCAAACCTTCTAACAGGACCTCGTCGCCTTCCTCAACATCCTCAAATCGCTCCAGGAAATCGTCTTGGCAAAGCCCAACCCGACCCAAACCCGCTCTCAGAATTGGCCTGCCCAGATCCTTCACTAATTCCACCGAGTTCGAAACCTCTGGATTGAGCTCCCGTCGGGCGATCTTCGGTTCGGGATGGAGCTGGGATTATGACAAGTGAGCTGGGTATATGCCTGGTTATGTTTTGTGAAAGTTGGATAAGATGAGATGAAGAAAGGGGTTAAGTTGGGTTTAGGGCGGGTGAGATAAGAGAGAGAGAGAGGGAGGAGACTCATAGTGGAGTCGAGATAGAGAGAGAATATGAGGGGATGGTTGAGTGAATTAGGTTTGAAAATAAGTGAGATAGGGTAATAGACAATAGAGGCCCAGAGGGTAGAGATTTAATCAGTAGGAATGAACGGTCTGGACCGGGGGCCAGTTTTCTCTAATTTTTAGAACCGGCCCGGCCCGGCCCATTTTGTATTTATAATTTTTGGACCCACCCCGAACTGCAAGGATCCGCCCCGACCTGCAGGTCTAGGACCCGTTTGCCCACCCCTAGTTGAAACATATTACCTGTGGGTAAGCTTCTTAATGCGTGACCGCTAATGACCCGACTAATTAATGTGTTGACTCGAAATCCTGTTATTTTTGTGTCAGGTTATCGGGTCGTGCAAGAAATTGTCATGATCTATACTAGGAGAATAGAAGAACTTAATAAAATCACTTAATACTATGGTCTAGTGATATTCATCTTTACTTGTAAGTAACGAGTTCGATACCAATTCGTTGTATAAGAAAAACTTAAAAAGTAAAAAAATAAGTGTGTTCCTTAAATTGAAATAAAATCAAAAAAAGAAGTTAAGTCGGATCTTAAAATTATACACATTAGAATTGAAGTCAGAAAAAGGAAAAACAATTACTTGTTAGAAATCATGGGCAAAGTCAAACATATAAATCGAGTTAGGAAATTACCTAACGGGATCAGACGATATAGAAACGTTCCTTTGGTCCGCCTGCACAAGTCCTAGGGTTTAAGTGGAAACCCTAGATTGAGCACGAAGGAGATGATGGCTAAGGTAAAGTTATATTAGACCTATTTTCGATTGTTTATACTCTTTGTGTGCGCAACAATCTCCTAATGAACTCTTTATATGGTGTTTATTTGAGGAGTTTAGGAGAATTATGGGCCAACTTGGTTATCAAGTTTAATACCAATTCCCAATTTGAATGGATTACCATAAGATCAATTATATTTAATTAATTTTATAATCTAAAATCCTCATATACTATCTTTTTTTGGTGAAAAAAAAAAGAGTGTTGATAAACTCACCCTATTATCCTATATTCTCATCCACATTTTAGTAAAAATGTTAATGGCATGTTTATCTTTTTATAAAAAGACTTTTAAATCCTTGTTTATTTTATTATAATTAATGTTATTATAGCTATAAAAAAAAACCTAGAAAAAGAACCCAGCTACCATTTCCTATGTCCCCACCCATTTCTCTCTCTCCCCACTAGCGTCTCTCCATCTCTCTCTCAAATTGGGAAAATTGAAAAATCTCCCTCTTCATCACCTATCACCACTCCATAACCCAGCCCCTACCCCACTGTTGTCCACCTATGCTCCATCAAAATTGCATTTCAACCATCGCTAACAAAGATAGGGGGTCTTCGTCCTCTCTCTCTCTCTCTCTTCCCCGTGCTTCCTCTCTTCCTCCCTTCCCGTTTCTCTCTCTACTTCCCTCTCCTGTTTTTCTCTCTTCCCAAAGGAGATGCCATCAAGCAGGTGTCAAAAGTTTTGGTTGACAAAGAGAGGGGGTAGTGCAGCTAGGATGATGATATTCTGATAAATTAAAATATAATCAGTTTAGATATAAATTAGAGAATATTTTTTGAATAACAGTGGGTGAAGAAATAACATTTTAACTTTTTTAACTTTTTATAGTGGGTCAAATTATAAGGTAGGTGGGGAAATAAGACAATAGGATGGGTCTAGTAACACTCAAAAAAAAAAAAAATCCTAACCGCTAAGGAGAGGAGCTAGCTCGCCTTTGCTTCCTCCATCCGCTTTTCCTGATTCTATTTTTCCTTCTCATTTGTGTCTTTCTTCGGATGAATAATATCCCCTTGTAGTGATTTCTCATTTGTTGGTTTCTCTTGTCATGATTTCATCTAGCTAAGCCATGCTCGGATTTTAGTTCCCCATCAACACTTGGTAAGTACAAAAGGAACCCGTACAAAACATTCGAAGAATCCTTAGAAGACCTTCACATATATATTCTCGGTCTCCGGGTGGTCCCGGTGTGCATCTGCCTATGTGTAGGATGCAAGTTTCGTTTCATATACGAACATAACACAATTATTATCAAAAAAAAATATCGTAAAATACATCTATCTCAAATTTATTTGTTCATGCTACAAACCCTAATTAAAATTGACACAAAACTGGCTAATTTCCTACATAAAGAGCAAAGGAAAGACTATTTCATATTCCAACTCCATTTTTAGGTGAAACTAAAGTCTCTACGTACATAACTAAAGTCTTTATTTCAAATTTATGACTCTCATGAACAATCTATGTGTCTTTTCCTGTGGATTGTATAATAGCAAGCCGTAGTTACCTCCGATCAGATAGAAGCTCAACAAAACTTGGCCATTCTCCAAAATGCATACAGGCCTAATATAAATTAAGGCACTTTCACGTAAACTCCATCCTGAAGTATGGATGATGAATTTAGTCCAAGATTCCGCAAAGCCATACTCCTTCATCACCCAAATTGTAATCGCAGGATGGACGGGATTTGTGTTATAACTAACAAACAGAGAATTATTTCGTATATATGTCCGTCCCAATTGTCACGGAGGTATTTTCATTGGCAAGCTCGGGCAGTGGCACCGTATTTCCTTGAAACTTCTCCTGCGCTAAATCGAAAGCGATGATTCATGCAAGCTTTGGTTGCCGCCAATGTATAGCTCCATTTAAGAAGCATTCGATCTCATCCAAGTCCACATACTTGAGGTTTTCAGTGTTTTCCATGAACCCGTTTTCAGTGCAAAGACCGCGATTGTGGTGGTAGTAAGCTCACCGGTTGCTGTTTTACAGTCGATTCCCATTACGATCTTGTAATCATGAGTGGTGGAATCATAACCGAATCCTTCGAACAACTGACCACTTGAAGGAAAAGAAGTTGGTGTCGGATAGTGGCCAAATTAGTGGCCAAGTGGACAACAAGCCAACTCTTCTTTCGGCTATTAAACAAACCAAAAGAATGAAGGACATAATGATGTAGGAACATCATTAGGAGGTTTTCCTTTATGATGTGCCACATGAGTGGCAATTATGATGTTTGTTCCTCTTGTTTATATTAAGGCATTTGGTTATGGCTTTGGTTTTGGGGGTTGGGAACGGCAGATTAGAGAGAAGAAGAGGTGGGTTACTGTTTTCTATCCTCCATTTGTTTGTAATCCCCTTTTGTTAGTAATCCCTCAATCAAAGATATTGCTGCTATATTTTGTGGCTTTTGGGAGAGATGGTATTTGATGTGTGTCTATCTTCTCCAATTGTTCTTTGTGAGAGTGGGAGCTATTGGGTGTATGTGGGATTTGGGTTTGAGAGTTAAAACTCTATTTGTAATCTCCTTTTGATATTAGTGGAATTTCCTCGCTGTCTCTGAACTGGACGTAGGCTTACACCGAACCAGTATAAATCCTTGTGTCATTTGGATTATTTGTCTTGTCATATTTTGCCATATTAGCTTATTGGTTTCATATTTGACACTTCCGCACAACAGTTGGTAATAGTGGTAACCTGTTGACGACTCCGGTGCTAGGGTTGCATAAGAACAAGCAGTCGTAGGTCTGTTGATGTAAACATATCAAGCCGTTGTAAGAACCCACAACTGTTGTGCCATTCAGCCGTTTTGGTAAACGAAGCTCTGTGCTTGCAACACAACTACCATCGTCATAATCCTTCGTGTCCAATAATAATAGTTCTTTGTAGTCTATGGATTCCGGAGGTCTGACTGAAGAAAGAAGTCTGAATCTGTTATGCGCGCAGTTGGATTCCATGACAGCGCGGGTACAATGCTTCATAACAAAATAATAATCGGAGATTAAAGCCCACCATGACTTGCACACACAGCGGAATCTTATTAGAGATTTGACTGGAAGCCTTGACAGTATCTCAATAACAATGTCATCATCGTACTCATCGGTATAAGAGGCCGTAGAAGCAGTTGCTGCTGCCGGCATGGGAGGTCCTTTGCCATGTTAACATGTATATAGCTTTGTTAAAGGCGGTTTCTTTTATGAAGCAAAAATTGAAGCTTTACTTGGTACGCAAGTCAATATATATAATTGACCATATAAATTATTGTCAAAATTTTATTCATCAGCTTAATAATAAAATACGAATTGAACTTATTCTGGGATAGAAATATTAATCCAAATAAAACAAAAGGAAATCAAATTTAATCCTAATATAACAGGAAATTAATAATCCAAATCCTTATAAAAGTAGGAACTTAAGAACTAGAACCTTAGAGATCAATATATATATATATATATAGAGTAACACCCTTGAATTTAATGTGGCGTCCACTCCTATCCTCGTCACCAACACCGAATTTGGACTAAGTTACACAATACATCATCTAATAACTTGAGAAGCAAGCAAGTTGAATTCCATCCTTAGCAACGACCAAGAGCAGACCGGTCAGGAGCATTATTGTTAATTAACTGCAGAAATTGCATGAGTGGAATCATTTTTACTACCATCTTCTCTTCTGCGTGCCAAGAACTAATGCAAGCTTTAAGCCTTCACAGTATGAGCAGCATAAGAAATCCCGCCTTGCGCGCCTGTAACTACTCCGACTCGTTAGATACAGTAGAAATTGATTGAAATATCTCAATTGTTGAACAGATCAAAATATCCTTATTGGGATAGTGGTCAAATTAAATTGAAATTACAAAATCTCCTCGAAAAAAAAAATAGAAAAACGCAGTTGAGGCATGCAACTGATTCCAGTAGTAGATGTTTGTCATGCAGCAATGAAAAGAATCGCATTGGCACCTTTGGTTCTAGCATACATGCAAGATTTGTCAAGCGTCAACCATAAATTCCATGCACAAGGGAGGCCGTCGGTCATGTTTTGGGTGGAGATTGAAGACCAAACCCTTGTATTTGTGCACGTTATATATAAAGGCTTTACTGCAAATTTGCCCCCTAAACCCTTGAGTTGTTTAACTTTGGTCCTTCAATTAGTTTTCATCCAAAATTGCTCCAAATACTTTTAAAAATAGAGATTTAAGCCGATTCACACTCTTTTATTTTTACCTGAACTTTTGAAAATCCAATTCCCGCCTCAACGTCAGGACTTTTAAATTGTCCGTCCATATTTTTGACATGGACAACAGTCACTTATTTAAGAGGGTAAAATGAAGTGTCACCTCCACTAAAGCCCACGCTGGCGATTCTATTCCACTCTATCTCCAAGTTGTGGTGGTATAATATCGATCTTGGAGCGACTAATCTAAAAAAGGTCGTACCCAGTGCACAAGGCTCCCGCTTTACGTAGGGTCTGGGAGAGGTGAATGTCGGCTAGCCTTACCCCCATTTATGAGGAGGCTGCTCCCAAGTCTCGAACCCGAGACCTACCGCTCATGGGCGAAGGCACTTGCCATCGCACCAAGTACGACCTCTGTTTTCACCCTCTTATGTGGCTCACGTGTTGTCCATGTGACAAATATGGGCGAAATTTTCGATCTAATGTCAAGTAAGTGGGGAGATAATTAACTATATCTCAAAGTTCAGGAATAATTGATTGAAATTAAAGTTCGCGGTAGGAATTAACAATGACTTACAAGTTTAAGTGATAAATCAATGAAAGCCTCAAATTATTGTATCTAATGAGGACAATAGTAGTGTTTGAAATACAATTTACGTAAGTACCAAACCTAAGTACAATTATCACATGTCCAACTTAAGTCTCTGTTTGAACTTTTTTTGGTCAGCTAAGTTTGTGTTCGAACAAGCGGGCTCTAATCTCCCTAAACTGACTTATAAGGAAATGTCTTTACCAAAAAGTTCAGCTATTCCCTTCTGAGGGTCATCCTGTTTCACAATTGACTCTCCTACCAAAACCGCTTTAACACCAGCTTCTTGTACATAGGCAATGTCATCCGGTGTAAACAGTCCAGATTCTCCTACCACAATGATGTCTCTCTGACGGATTAATTCGCCACGCTCTCCTTCAAGAAGCTTCTTTGTGTTACCAGTATCAACCTCAAATGTTTCTGCAGTCAAAGCAAATATAAGGTTATCATATTACGATTAAAGTTTACACGCAACACACAGCCCAATATTGACAGATAGAAAACATGAACATGGGCAGGTTTAACGCTCATCCCCTTCCATATATAGCTTGACAACCTGTCTAATTCAGCCCATCAACATCCCTCTTAAAAAGAAATTAATAATTAATATAAGAAGACCGAACTACTAATTATGCTGCCTAAACCACAAACAGTTATTATGCCTATACGAATGCATATTAGGGGGCAAAGGGGAAAGTGTTTTGAGGATCCTATCACAAATTCGAACAGGAAGTACATTATTGAAGGCTTTTGAAAAGCTCTCACGTATTACTCCAAAATACTAGTTGACGATTGATTGTCTTTCATAAAAATATGAGATAAAAGATGAAATGATCAGCAAACAGCCATATTGTAAATGACAAGGAAACAGAAGTTTCATAGTGTTGATGCACAAAACCGGAGGTCTTGGAACAACGTAAATCCGACCGTGAATCTGCATGAAATGTAAATAACACAAGATGTATAGTGGTTCACCCCAAGGTTTGGGCTACGTCCACACTGATATTGTATTTATGAGGGAGAGATAGAGAGCTCTAAGAGTGAGAGCTTTGAGAGGGGTGAGAGGGCCTAGGAATTGGCCTCCCCTAATTGTGAGGGCGAGGGGTCCTTTTATAAAATAAGGACTCCTCACTTATTACATATTTGCCCCTTCCTTTATCACATAATTACATTTAAGTTCCCCGAGTATTTGTACGAGATCTAAATACGAGGCCCTAAATATGGTATAAACACATAGCATAAGCCAATTTATAGAGCTTAGGAAATTTTACCAAGATTGCGGTTGTTGATGCCAATTAACTCAACCCCCTCAATGCCAAGAACACGGTCCATTTCCCTCTCATCATGCACCTGTAACAATGTAAAACACGAGATGTTTTGGGATTACATTTCAATGGATATGGTTTTTTTTCTTGTTGATAAAAAGGATACACACACACACACACAAACAAACACAGAAGGATATGTTGTAACTGATGCATAACTCTGTATCCAAAAGCATCCCAAAATAGGCCAGACATTCAAGAATAGTAAACGCTGTCTAACTCAATTAGACAAAGGCGGATTTTCTTCTCAAACAGAAGTATAAAAAACTAATAATGGAGAAAGAAGTGCATCTCAAACCTCAACAAGTGTTGCCATGCCAAGCATCTTGCAGATCTTTGTCATGTATTTGATGTCAAGGTCAGGCAAAACAGCAGCAATCAAAAGAATCGCATCTGCACCTTTGGTTCGAGCATAGTAGATTTGCCAAGCCTCGATGATAAATTCTTTGCACAACAGAGGGCACTGCATATTTTGCTAGTGTTAGAAGAATAAATTATACGCAAAGTACACCCTAGCATGTGCAGAATACAACAAAAAAGAGGAACATTGCTTATGAACAAACCTTCACTCCAGCATTTCTTATCGCCACCATATTTTCATAGCTTCCCTAATTGATTAAGCAAAAAGCAAGTGAGATACAGCTAATAGGTTTGCTTTTTATATCCTAATAAGTTTGCTTTTAATATCGATGATTTTGGAGACGGATCGAATTGATTGGTTCACCTGAAAATACTTTTCATCTGCCAAAACACTAAGACAAGCAGCTCCCCCTTTTTCATAAGCTTGTGCAATTTCAACCTATCATGACAAATCATTTGAAGAATAAGAACTAGCGAGAAGGTTGGGGAGAAAAACATTTTCTCACACAAAAATGAGGGAGGACCACTCATGTTTTCTTTTCCCAAAAGTTATATAGTTATATCAGAAATGAGACAACGTCACAATGCACACACACATACAATGCTTTTGTTCCAAACCAACCACATGAAAGTCATTAGAATATGAGGATAACGAATACATCCTGATCAGCATTATAGAACAAGGTTCCGAAAATGGAAAAGAGCTTCCTGTATTCCGATGAGCATGAACTCGTCAGTTTAGCATACTGAATCTGGTACTACCACATCAGGAATAGAAACAAACTCCCAAATACAGGAATAAGGATTGAAAAGATGCAGACTTACAGGATCAAAATTTTCCCTCAAAACTCCTCTACTTGGGGAAGCCTTCTTCACTTCAGCAATCAAACCGGGCAGACCAGTTCGTGAATGCGCTGCCCTCAGAGCTCCAACAAAATCCCTCACCGGCGGAGCATTGTCAAGATCTTTCTTCAATGAATACAGAGGTTGCCTCTGCTTCAACTGAATCAATATCATCAGCAGTAATCAAAACTAGCAACTCAACATATGAACAAAATTAGACCAAATTTTTCGATTTTTCGAGCAACCGAATTCACGAAAATGCAAAGCGGACAACTTTACCTGAGCAACTTGAGTGTCCTTGTGCCATATGATTTCCTCCAGAATATTCCGTGGAGTGTTGCCCTCGTTCTGCAACCGGAACTCGAAAGGTCCCACATAGTGCTGAGGGGGTCCTGTGGGAGGCCTCCTCCTGATTCTAATTCCCTGACTCGCAGCCACCTCATTGTGGTACATACCCACCTCCCATTCCTTGATTTTCAGCTCAACTTTCTCCGGCTCCTGTTCACCTTCCACCGCAACCGCCGACGGCGGAGTGCCCTTAGACTGCATCTAATAAAAAACAAACAATTATCCAGAATTTCAAACACCATTTCAATGCAGTTTTAAAGTAAAATCCAGCAAAAAGTAGAAGAAAATTAAGAAATCTAAAGAACTTAGAACCTGCTGAGCTCGAACAATGGAGGAAGACGACGAAGGAAGAGAGAGCCACTTTGCTCTACGAGCGTCGAAAGCGGAGGCGGAAATGGGGTTTCTGGCGCGGGAAGAGAGAGAAGCAACAGCCCGGAAGGAAGCCAAGGCCTCCATTGTTGGATCGGATGGGGATTTGCTGAGCAAAAACGAAAGGGGATG